CTACTACATAGAATGCGTTCTCACTCTGCTGCTTATTTTCATGGAGTTGGCTTTTCTACACTCACTCAGCATTAAGAGTGGTTCATAAAGTATGAGGTTGTTTGCACTGGGTCCTTCCATATGGTGCTCCTGTGAACCACTTTAAGAGATAAATAACCAGATTACAGCTAGATAAAAAGCACTCTTACCCCAGTCCCATATTTGTATAATTATGATCATTTTCTTATTAAATGATCTGTTAGTACATACATTTCAGCAGTAGTGTCAAGAGAAAACATTTACTGCCCTAGTTTGGAAGGACTTAAACTAACAAAAACTAGCAATATCTGTTGCAGATAAATAATACATAGTAAATGTATATTATGGAATATATACATATATATATGTATATATATATACACACACACACACAGAAGCACATATATTTCTGCTTTGGTAACCAAAACACAAATCTATTATTTTTGAAAGGCAACAATGTTCACTTTTAAGAAAATTTTATATTCCTCTGAAACTACAGCTGACACAAACCCTACCATCTAACAACCACCACATTCATGATTTTTCTCCTCACTGTATCTTGCCATTTTACCGACTACCTAAATAAAAGCCTTCTTTCCCACTGTTGGACAATTGACCAGATTCTTCGTTCAGGAAAAAAAAAAAAAACAGTGTTGCAAAAAGTTATCAATCATTTGGCTCTTGTTAAAGTTTTTGGAAACCTACATCTTACCTAAGTTTAGAATATTTGTGTCAGGGACCAGTAGATGGCATAATGGTTGTGTCACTGGACTCCCATTAGTCTACTGCAGTTCGGGTTCCAGACCCGGCAGCTTAAAACTCAGCAGGACACTCATATGTGCGTGTCCCAAGAGGAGACTGGAGGAGAAGGGATTGTGGTGTGGCCATCCCTCTGAGGAATGATTTCTTGCTTTCTGTCTCTCTGTCTCTCTCTGTCTCTCCAGTGAGCACACATGCCCTATAGCACAAATCTCTCTCTTTACACATAATTAAATGTTGATACCATTTTTAAGTAGTTTTGACTAATTTCTGCCTCTCTCTCTCTCTCTCCCCCCTCCCTCTCTCTCTCTCATTATTCTCAAAATATTAGTAAATATAATATTTTAATAACTAGTCATATAGTTGTGGCTATACAGAGGGTCTTGTTGGTCACACTTAAATTATCCTCACCTTTTCTCTGCTCTCTGGAAATGTTTTTGGTTTTTCCTTAGTTTTCTAGGGCCACAGTAGGTGGCTTAAAACAATAGAAATACATTGTAATACAATTCTGTTATCTCTTGTAGGCCCTTGGGAAGGATCTGTCTTATGCCATTTTCAGCTTCTGAAATGCAATCCTAGATATTCCTTGGCTTGTAGCTGAACAGCTACAACCTCTGCCTCCATCATCATATGAAGTTCTCTCTGTGTGGCTCTGGTCCAAATTTCTCTCCACCAGTTGCTTCAGCTAAGAGCCCTACCTAATGACATCATCTTTGCTTGATTACATCTGCAAAGACCCTATTTCTAATCAAGGTTGCATTCATAGGTACTCCAAGCTAAGCCTTTAACCTGGATTTGGTATGCATGCATGTGTGTGTGTGTGTGTGTGTGTGGTGACAGAAGAAGGAGGTACACAGTTCAACCCATAGTGGCATCCAGACCTCTGGAAACATCTAGAATCATATACAGTAATTTCATTTTGAGTCACTGTGCCGTCTTAACCTATTTCACTATTTCACTTTTTTTTTTTTTTTTTTTTTTTTTTTTACGGCAAAGTGAGACTTTCATGGCAGTATTGCAAGATCAGGTGTCTGATGACCAGGCACACCCAACACAGTTACAACGAGCAACTTATTTTCCAGTGTGCTGTTCTCCCCCACCAATTCCTCATTGGCTGAGTACTATGGGGTGAACAATCTTTTTGGATGCTGCCTAAGTTTTATTATTTTCTTAGAAGGCATTTATCGTCCCCTTTCCTCTCCTGTCTGATGGAAAGGTCAAGGCTAGGGCCAAGGCTGTGACAAAGGTCCACTAAATGTCCTAAGGAAGGAGAAGAACCAGGAAGTAAAACTTTCTGTTTCACTTTATAATACTTATAAGGACACAAAGTTGCATGAATTCTTGGAAGATAATAAGTAGATGAAACAAAATTAGAACTGGGACCTTTTGTGCAACCTCTGCTGTCCACCCATTGGCTTATTTTCACTCTCTGTTTTGAAAGTAATTGATATTCATTGCAAATAGTCAAATAATACGGAGGCGTATTTTAAAAAGTTTTACTAATCTCCCATCTTCAATCTCACGTTCATGAGGTAACCAACATTTTCTTTCCACATCTTTCTCAATGTTCACAAGTAAGAATAAACAACACATGCGATTATTAGAATTTTTTTTATTTTTATCAACAAAAAGATGGTGCCATACTCATTAATTTGCCGTTAGATTTTTTAAATGTAATGCAACATAAATAACTTTCAAGGTTAATATATGTAGATTTAATTCACTCTTTTAAAAGTCAATGTAATAATTTCTAGTATTGCTAACCCGTAATTTATTCACCCATTCTTCCTAAGCTAGACATTTGGGTTTTTCTCAGATATTTGCTGCAGCAAACATTCTTGCCCATATCTACTATTGTAATTATAAAATCAGTTCTAAAAGTTGGATTCCTGGGTCAAAGGATATATTCATATTTTTAAATTGTTCAGACATTGCAATGATTTTCATTCTTACCAATAATATGCCTTCTTCCTTATACCCTCACCAACGCTAAGGTTATTGATTTTTTGAGTTAATGTTCATATGTTAGAGTATTTGATGTTTATAGAAGTCATATGTCCTACCACACAGAAAAATTAAAAAAAAAAACCAATAAACAAAAAACAAGACTTTCCCCACAGAGATCTCCATTCTCTTTAGAGAGAAATCCAGGTGCTTCCTCTCCCCTTTTCCTTACTCATCTAAACACAGGATTTCTATTGCCCCAGCCAGTCGATTCCAGCTCCAAGCTATTGTTAGCCCTTGAACTAAGGAAAGTATCTGTTCAATAACCACTTATTGGAATGGAGGTGGGGTGTTATCTGTCGAAGATATTTTGATTAACTGGACTGGGGAGAAATGTTCACATATCGAAATGTTCACTTCGTAAGTTAAACAATGTAATTGAATGTATATAAAAATAAATAAATAAATATAAAAACACTACAAAAAAAAAAAAGAAAAAATTTGGAAACCTTTTAAAAGAAACATGCTCTGGAATGGCCTCAACCAC